GCCACATCCACACATTCTTGGCACACTCAGGGATGACCACTCCACCCTTCCCAGATGGGCAATTGCTGGGCTCATTTCCCTCCACCAACGACTTGAGCAGAAGGATTTGGTTCCTCTTCCTCCTGCAAGTGCTGTCCACAACCTCAGACACCTCTTGTGTTGCAGGAGCAGCAGCATGGTCCCTCCAGTGAACATCATCCAGCAGCAGCCCTCGCCCGCCGGCCGGATCTTACCGCAGATCTCGCGCCACTCCAGCCCAGCTCAGGTCAGCGGGACCACCTGGGCTGCAGGGACACGGCCGGTGTTCACACCCCAGGTAGCACAGCCCAGCCCCTCAGAGCAGGCCCCGGGTCCCTGCTGCCTTCCAGACCCTGCTCTCCGTGGGGATCCATCCTGCTTCCACTCTCGTGTCCGTGTGCTTCCTCCTTCGCGGCTAACCCGGCAACTCCTCCCTGAGCTGAGTTGGGTGAAGCCGTGCCTCCTCTTCCTCTGCTGTGTTTTTCCTCTCTTACAGCAAGTGGCATCCCAGACAGTGAAGACCCGGCCGCCTTCCTTTGGCATGGGGACATTCCAGGGCACGCCGTCCTCCTTCAGCTCCATGACAGCGCCGGGATCGACGGCTTCTCCCACCACGGCGCCGTACCCAGCCCTGGCCAGCCGTGGCACAGGCTTCAGTGAGTGGGGCTTGGGGGGCAAAAAATACCCCTGGGAGCGTCCAGCTGTGGTGGGATGTGCCCTCCATCATTTTTGGTGGATTTTGGGAGTGCCTGAATGTGGGGAGCAGAGTTGAAGCTGTGCTTTGGCTGATCACCTTCAATCATCCTCCAACCACAGAGCTGGACTTGGTGGTTCTTGTGGATCCCTTCCAGCTTGGGATAATTGGGGTCATCCCAGCAGATGAATTTTGAACCATTTTAAGGCTGCCTGGGAGGAAACAAACCCCTCTGGGAGTCTCTTTGCTCTATCCCATGGCGAACACCTGAATTCCTGTGGCAGGAATTCCTGCAGGACAACCCTGCCCTGTCAGCAGCAGCACCACACAGAGCACTGCCCTTCCCAATCCCATCAGAGCACTGGAGAAGCCCCATTCCCAAAGGAGGGATGATTCACTGCCTGTGTTCTCTTCCAGCAGCCACAGAGGCAGCTCAGACCCCGGCCCCGTTCCAGCCCCGCGCCGCCGACGCCGTGGGAATGTGGCCCCAGTGGCAAGGACAGCACCACGGCCCAGGATCTGGGGAGCAGCACGTGCAGCAGCCCCAGCCCAGCCAGCCTGAGGTCTTCCCAGTAAGATGGGGCTTTTTAACCTCCCAATCTGGTGGGATCCACTGGTGTTGAAACACACAGAGCTTCTCCCTCTGGTTCAAATCGACTGGGGGGGTCCCAGAGTCCTGGATAACCTGATGGAGCTGGAAGTGGAGAGGGCAGGACTGGCTTTGTGTCTTGGTCTGTTGCAGGATCAGTGTGAAATTCCAGTTGGATTAACCCTTCTAGTTCTAATTAATTTTTTAAAAAAGCTACAGTCCAATGAAATTAAAATAATTCATAATCCTCTCACCCCAGCTTTCCCAGCATTTGCTGATTATAGCTTAAATTTGCTGCTCTCCTTAAATTTCCCTTGGACACAGACCCTGTTTTCCCTTGTGAAAGGGACCAGTTTGGTCCACAGTATCTATTCCAGCAAACCCATGATTAAATTGCCCACATGGTCATGGAGCCATGGAATTGCTGAGGTTGGAAAAGCCTCTGAGATGGAGTCCAGCTGTTCCCCCTAATTTCCAATCTAAACCTCCCTGGCACACCTTGATATTCCAGTCTGGATCCTAACCCTCTCCTTGTATCCTCACAGGACATGCTGACCATGTTGGGGGACCAAGGGCCCAACTACAACAATGAAGAGTTCCCAGAGCTGAACATATTCCCTTCTTTTTCTGAGTAAAACAAGCCTTAGGGGAAACAACACAAACCTCTCACCAATATCCACATGTAAAGGAAAACAGCAGAGTCTTTTTCTCAAGGAACTGTCTAAACTCTTCCCAACTTCTGGAAGCAGAGCTCCAAGGAGGGATGGCCCTGGAGGACGAGGTGGTTTGGACACCTCCTCCATGTGGGATTGTTCTGGAAGCTTCAGGACTTGAGTGCCACGAGGCCAAAGGCCCCAGAGCTGCTCCCAAGTGGATTTCTTTGGGAGGGATTCCTGTCTGGAGCACACAGACAGCCCTTCCAAACTTTTAAGGTGGCTTTTGACTGTTTTTATTTCATTCTCTGCCGTGACTTTTTCTATAAAACACAAAACTATTGGAATTTTTAAATACTGGAAGGAACTCTTCCAAGTGCTATCCCTGTAAACACAATCCTGGAGGATGCTTGAGTAAGAATCCATGTCCCAAGCCAGTGTTTTCCTCCTTTTTGGAGGAATTTTAGCTGTTTTTGGAGGGTTGTTACAGCACCTCCAGTCCAGGGTGCTCCACGTGGAGATTCCTGTGTTTGTCTGGAATCTTCTCTCTCCTGTGAACTGTGCAATGAAATCAGTGTGACCCATGACCCCCTCGTTACCCCGGGATAATTAACAAGCCATAAAAATATTACCCATGTAGCTTTCTTCTGGATGAATCCATTTTCCAGCTGATGGTTTCTGTGCTGCCACAAATTGATGTTTCAACAGGTTTTTTTTTTTGGGATAAAACCTGCTCCACGCTGCCCATGGAATTTTATCACATGTAGATGAGTTCCTTGTCCTCGTTTTTGGAGCTGGATGTAGGAGAATCCCTGGATTTGATCAGGGAATTGCTGAGGAACTGTGTTTTCACTACATTTGCTCACTCACCATCTCCTTAAAGAAGAATTCCTGCCATGGGATGATCCTGTTGCCAAATGACAAAGAGTAAGAGGAGAGCTGGAAAAGTAGGGAACAGAATGAAATTTTTTTTATATATATATATATATCTATATATATAAATTTTTAATTTTTAAACATTGACTTGGAATCTTCTGGCTTTTTCCATGGGGAAAAAAAAAACCAAACTTGTGGCCAACCCTGCTCTCCTCAGGGGCTGGAAGAACCATTTGATTCCCTCTTGCTTCAATTCCAACAGGAAAATGAAATTGCAGAGTTGGACTTGGAAGGAAATTTGGCACAACAGCAGCTGGGGAAGAATCCCAAGTGTTCCTGGAAGCCTGGTTTTGTTTTGAATGGAATGTGGGTGTTCCCCCCTTTTCCCTGCATGTGGAGGGGGGGCTCTGGGACCCCCAGGCTGGTTGTGAGTGTTCTCTCTGCTGGTTGAGGGCAGGAATGGGGAAACCCCCACCCCTTTTCCAAGAGCTGATTGCAGAGCTGTCATTCCTGACTAAAATCCACGTAGGAAGCTTTGAAACCTTTGTGTCACCAACCCAGAGAGATTCCTCTTGTAAGTGGAGCAGGAAGCTTTATTTTTCCCTCTCCTTTTCCCTCTGGAAAATTAAGACTTGAAGGTTTTGTTTTAGCTGGTTTTGGTTGTTTTTGTTTTTTTTTTAAATTTTATTCCAAATTTCTCTATGGGTAAGTGGGAACATCCCATTTGAAGAAACCTGTGATCCACCCTCTCCCATTATCCAGGGTGTTCCCAGCCATCCCATCACATCCTGGGCCCTTACCCTTCAGTTCTTCAAGGAGGAGGAAAATTCCCATTTCCCTGAGCCCTTGCAGGTCCCGTGGCTTTATCCCCCCCCCAAATTTTCCAGCTCCTGGGAGAAGGAAACCAGCTGGAGCAGCCAGATCTGTTGGGAAGGAGGATGAGGAGTGGCTGATGGGGTTCCTGGGGGACAGGCTGGGTCTTTTCCCCCCTCTTTGGGAGCTCCAGTGTTGGTCCTGGGGGGGAATTTTATCCCACAGTCCCTGGGGGAGCTGAACCCCCCTCGGGTGTGCCCCAGCCCCAGTGGATTCTGGGCAGCAGAGATTTTCCAGCAAGAGATTTTCCTTTTTTTCCAACCTTTGTCTCATTTCTGCCTCTTGGAGGAATGTCCCTAAATCCCCATCCCCTGTCCTGGCCCCCAAAGCCATTCCCTCCCTGTTTTGTCCCCCAGTTTGGCCCCCATCCCCCCATTTTGCCCCCCAAACCCCTCGTACCCCCCCGTTTGTCCCCTCAGTTCCTGGTCACTCGCTGCCACGTCAGGGCCTCGTGCTCCAGGGGATGATTCTGCCCTGGAGCCCCGGGGTGACTCAGCCCCCCTTGTCCCCACAGCGGTCACAGGGGGGTGGCCCCTCTCTTGGGGACCCCCGTGGGGAAGGGGTGACAGGAACCCACGCCCACCTTGGTGCTGCTGCATCCCCCCTCGCCCCTGCTGCTCCCTGGGAGGGTCTGTCCTCGTTCCCTTGGCTGGAGGGTGACGATGACAGCGATGATGATGTCGATGTCCCCAGGGTGACATGGCTGGGACGGCTCTGGTGCCACCGGGACCTTCCTCCTTGTCCTGGCAGGAGCCTCGTGACGAGGTGACAATCACTGCACAAAGCACCGTCCTGCCCCCCCAGCTGGGCACCGGCTGGGGGACACTGGGGACAGAGCTGGGGGGTCCTGTCCTCTGTTCCTGCTGTCACACGATGTCCCCAGGCTGCTCCTGAAGGAACTGGGTGCTCAGCCCCATCCTAGTCGGGCACGGGGAGGACTTGGGGACAAGGTGGGACAGCAGAATGTCCCCAGGGTGGGATGCCGGGACAAGAGAATGTCCCCAGGGCAGCGGGACATCCCTAAGTTGGGATGCCAGGACAAGAGGGTGTCCCTGGGGCCAGGATCCTTGGGACAGGAGGGTGTCCCCAGGGCAGGATGCAGGGGTGGGGGACATCCCAGGGACGGGAGGATGTCCCAGGACAGGAGGATGTCCCGGGACAGGAGCAGGTCCCAGGGAGAGGAGGATGTCCCGGGACAGGAGCAGGTCCCAGGGAGAGGAGGATGTCCCAGGAGAGGACGATGTCCCAGGACAGGAGAAGGTCTCACGGACAGGAGGATGTCCCGGGACAGGAGGATGTCCCGGGACAGGACGATGTCCCAGGACAGGACGATGTCCCGGGACAGGACGATGTCCCGGCAGGAGCCGCCACCAGCCCGCGCCGGTGCTGACTCAGCGCGTCCCGCAGCACCACGTGAAGCCGGGGGCAGCCCCCGCGTCCCCCTCCTTGTCCCCTCCTTCCCTCCAGCCCATCCAAACCCCGATGCTTGCCAAAATTTTCCGGCTGCCTCCAAACTTCCTCAATCCGGCCGCATAAAAAGCGCAGCGGCTCCCGCAGGCCCCGTCCCGGCGCTGCCACCGACGGCTCCGCGCTCGGTAAGCGGCGGGGAGGGGTCCCCGGGGGGCGCTGGGTGCCTTTTTCCCCAGGGAAATGGATCCCAGTGGGAAATGGGAGGGAATCGGGTCCCATGTGGGACCTTGGGGGGGAGGCACAAAAAGGGAAACTGAGGCACTTCACGTCGAGCGGAGCTGGGGGTCCCCGGCTCGGGGGGCTGGGGGCGCTGGGTGAACCAGGAGGGGCTGGATGGGTGGGACGGGCCCCCTCCTGCACCTTCTGCATCCCAAAACTCCCCCCACCCCGGCGTGGGGCTGCCGGAACGAGCCGGTCACGGGAGCGGTAACGGGAACCAGCTGTCCCGGCTCATGTGATGCCGGCGCCCGGCCAGCCCTGCCCGCGGGGGTGTCCTGGCCCCAGATGGGGGGAGGAAGGGGTCCCAGAGCCCAGCTAGGGGGTCCCAGCCCCAGATCGAGGGAGGAAGGGGTCCCAGCCCCAAATCAGGGTGTTCAGGGGGTCCCAGCCCCAAATCGAGGGAGGAAGGGGTTCCAGCCCCAAATCAGGGTGTGCAGGGTGTCCCATCCCCAAATCAGGGTGTGCAGGGGGTTCTGGCCCCAAAGCAGGGTAGGCAGGGGGTTCCAGCCCAAAAAATCAGGATGTGCAGGAGGTTCCAGCTCCAAATTAGGGTGTGCAAAGGGTCCTGGCCCCAAGGCAGGGTGTGCAGAGGGTTCTGGCCCCAAATCAGGATGTGCAGAGGGTCCCAGCCCCAAATTGAGGAAGGAAGGGGTCCCAGCCCCAAAATAGGGTGTACAGAGTGTCCCAGCTCCAAATCAGGGTGTGCAGGGGGTCCTGGTCCCACAGGAGGGTGGGCACAGGTTCCTGCCCCCACCCGGAGCCCCTGGCTCAGCCTGTGCCCTGTCCCCAGCATCCAGCTGGTCCCCAGGACGTGGTGGCCCGTGCTGCTGGCCCTGCTGGTCCCCAGGATGAGGTGGCCCGTGCTGCTGGCCCTGCTGGTCCCCACGGCGCTGGCCCAGCCGCACCCGCAGCGGGAGCTGGACGCGCAGTGGGACCTGTGGAAGAAAACCCACCACAAGCAGTACAACGGCCAGGTACGGGGGGTTCTGTGCCTGGGACCCCCAATGACGTCCCCAGGGTGGGGTGCTGGGGCACAAGGATGTCCCAAGGGTGGGGGACACAGGCAGGACCCCTGTCCCAGTGCCATCTTGCCCGGCGCAGGCAGACGAGGTGACGCGGAGGCTGATTTGGGAGAAGAACCTCAAATACATCAACACCCACAACCTGGAGCACTCCCTGGGCGTCCACACCTTCGAGCTGGCCATGAACCACCTGGGTGACATGGTGGGTGTCCCTGGCGGGGGACAGAGGGGGGCTGAGCCCCTGTGGGTGCTCCCACTCACCGCGGTTCCTCCTCCAGACCAGCGAGGAGGTGGTGAGGACGATGACCGGGCTGAAGGTGCCCCGTGGTCACCAACGCCACAACGAGACACTCTTTGTCCCCGACTGGAGCGAGAGAGCCCCGGCTGCCATGGACTGGCGCAAGAAAGGCTACGTGACCCCTGTCAAGAACCAGGTGAGACGGGTGTGCCTGCAGCAGGGTGTCACCCCGTGTCACCCTGTGTCACCGCGGTGTCACCCGTTGTGTTGTCCCCACAGGGCCAGTGTGGCTCGTGCTGGGCTTTCAGCTCGGTGGGCGCCCTGGAGGGGCAGCTGAAGAGGAAAACAGGCAAACTGCTGTCCCTCAGCCCCCAAAACCTGGTGGACTGCGTGGCCAACAACGACGGCTGCGGCGGCGGGTACATGACCAACGCCTTCGAGTACGTCCGGCAGAACCGCGGCATCGACTCCGAGGACTCCTACCCCTACATCGGCCAGGTGGGAGGGGGGCCAGCCCCAAATCCCCCTCCGTCCCTCCCCTCCCCACCTCACCTGGCCTTCCTGGCCCTCGCAGGACGAGAGCTGCATGTACAGCCCCACGGGGAAGGCGGCCAAGTGCCGCGGCTACCGCGAGATTCCCGAGGGCAACGAGAAGGCTTTGAAGAGGGCGGTGGCCAGGATTGGGCCCATCTCCGTGGGCATCGATGCCAGCCTGCCCTCCTTCCAGTTCTACAGCAGGGGTGAGGGGCTGGGGGGAGCTGGGGGGGCGCGGGGCTGCTGGGGGAGCCGAGGCACGCCCGGTGACAGTGGCTGTGTCCCCAAGGCGTGTACTACGACGAGAGCTGCAACGCTGAGAACATCAACCACGCCGTGCTGGCCGTGGGCTACGGGGCACAGAAGGGCACCAAGCACTGGATCATCAAGAACAGGTACAGGGCTTGGGACGCCTTGGGGATTGCAGGTGGCTGGGGCTCTTCCAGAGGCTCAGGCTCTGCTTTTCCACCTGCAGCTGGGGCGAGGAATGGGGCAACAAGGGCTACGTCCTCCTGGCCCGCAACATGAACAACGCCTGTGGTGTGGCCAACCTGGCCAGCTTCCCCAAGATGTGACCCAGCCCTTCCCTTCCCACTGCCCTGCCCTCCAGCTTGGCCTCTTCCCTCCCAGCCTCAAAGGTGACGGTGCTCCCGGGGGGAATTCTTTGTCTCCGTGAGAAATTTCCCTTGGGAAGGGGGAGACACCCCCTCTTCACCACAGGGAATGGGGGATGAGTCCCCTCAACTCTTTTTTTTTCCACACTTTGCCATGCTGGCTTCTGCCTTGCCATGGACTGTGCTTGGCCTGATGTGTGGAGGCCAATCCAGCCAGACATGCTTCAGGAACAGGTTCCACTCCAGCCTCTGCCTCAGGGGTGGAGGTGGAATATTCCCAGTGGAGAGCACAGATCCCTCTCCCTCCACCCTGTATCCCGGTGGAGGCTGCTGAGAATGATATGACTTTATTTTTCAACTAAAATTGGGAATAAGGCTTGGACTGGTTTGCTTCGTGCTGGGAAAAAGCCACAGGGGTGGGAAAAATTCTTCCTTTTCCCAAAGGGGCAAAGAGCCCCTTGTGGGGCAGAATAGGGTGAGAAGAAACTGCTGGGGAATTTTGGGATGGATGGATGGAGTATCTGGGGAGGGGAAGGACACAGGGAAGGACAGATGGGTGGATGGACCCACAGGACACCCCCAGCCCCACCAGAGACCCCCCAAACCCTCCCCAGGGAGTGTCAGCCATGGCTGGGGGGGGCACCACGAGGGATTTGGGGACCCTGAGGTCCCATGAGGGATTTGGGAACCTCCTGGGATTGTGGCCACGAGTGACAATGACACCGTGGGGCCACAAGAATCCAGAGCAGAGGTGCACAGAGACCCCTGGGGAGGGGGCACGAGGCCGTGCGTGCCCCGTGTGGGTGAGCACGGTGACCACAGCACACCCCAAAACCAAACACGGGTATCACAGCAGGCCTGGCACACCCCAGGAGTGCAAACACCCCAGTACCCACCCACACCCCGCCACACCCCGGAACGGGGCTGAGAGCCGGGGGGGGACCCTGAAACAATGGAGACAGTGAGGCACAAGGAAATCCCCCAAAAAAAAGGACAAGCAGGGACACTCAGAGGTGACATCTTTATTGTCCCCTCCCTCCGGGAGGGGCTCACTCCTCGTGGCCGGGGGGCGGGGGCGCCAGGGCGGCCCCCAGCCTCACCTGGCTCAGGTAGGCGTTGTCGAAGCAGCGGCGCCGCTCGGGCTCCTCCCACGAGCAGCAGCCCCGAGGGTCCCGCCAGGCGTCCCCGGGGGTGGCACAGAGCGTGGCGATGCCCTGGGACAGCTGTGGGCAACGGGCACGGGGCTCAGGGGGTCTGGGGGTGCCCGGCGCCCCTAAACCCCTCAGGCACTCACTTGTGGGGATGGGGGTCAGGGGGCTCTGGGCGTCCCAGCGCCCCTAAACCCCTTGGGCACTTGCTTGTAGGTAATGGGGATGGGGGTCAGGGGGCTCTGGGGGTCCCAGCGCCCCCAAACCCCTCGGGCACTCACTTGTGGGGATGGGGGTCAGGGTGGTTCTGGGGGTCCCCTGAGCCCCCAAACCCCTCGGGCTCTCACTTGTGGTAATGGGGATGGGGGTCAGGGTGGTTCTGGGAGTCCAGGGCCCCTAAACCCCTTGGGCACTCACTTGTGGGGATGGGGGTCAGGGTTGTTCTGGGGGTCCCCTGAGCCCCCAAACCCCTCGGGCACTCACTTGTGGTAATGGGGATGGGGGTCAGGGGGCTCTGGGGGTCCCAGCGCCCCCAAACCCCTCGGGCTCTCACTTGTGGTAAAGGGGATGGGGGTCAGGGTGGTTCTGGGGGTCCCAGCGCCCCCAAACCCCTCGGGCTCTCACCTGCTCCCGGGCACAGGCGCCGCGCTCCTCGGGGGGCAGCGGGCAGCACGCCGCCGTCATGGCCCCCAGCAGCTCCGGCACCGGCCGCCTGCGGACACGGCACGGGGCTGAGCACCGGGGGAACACCGGGGGAGCACGGGGGGCACCCCCAAGGGGGTTTAAGGCGGGGGGCGTGGGCTGCCGTGCCCCTCCCCGAGCAACGGAGAGCCGCGGATGGCGGGGATGGGGATGAGGGGTCCTGCAAAGCCGGGACCCCCCAAGAGCGGGGGGTCCCCGCGGGCTGTGTTGGGGTCACTCACGTCCTTGTGAAGAGCCGCGTGGGGCCGCAGAGCGAGCGCAGCAGGGCCGGGCCGGGCCGGGCCAGGCTCACGTTGTGCAGCTCCCGGTCGTACTCGGGGTGGGGGGCGGCGGCGGCGAAGCAGCGACCCCGGGCCCGGGGACCCCCCCGCTGGCAGCAGCGGTGCTGGCCCGTCTTCACCGATGATTCCTCCCGGCAGAACCGATTGAGCCCCTTCAGCCACTGCGGAGGAGAAGCCGGGGGTCGGGGGGCTGCCCGGGCACTGGGACCCCCGAACAGCCGGGTCATCCCTGGGACATTTCCGTCCCCTCCCCGGATGCCGGGGCCCCTCCCTGATACGTTTGTCACCTTCCCGGATACCTGGGAGCCTTCCCGGCCTCTGAGCGGCTGGGTCACGATCCGGGCACACGGGTCATGCCCGGGACAGCCGGGGCCACTCCCCGGATACCGGAGTGCCAGCCCGAGCACCTCGGTCCCTTCCCCAAACACCTCAGTGCCTTTCTCAAACACCTCAGTGCCTTTCCCAAACACCTCAGTGCCTTTCCCGAACATCTGTGTCCCTTTCCCAGACACTTCTGTCACTTTCCCAAACAGCTCTGTCCCCTTCCCCAATGTGTCCCTCTTCCAAACACCTCAGTCCTCTTCCCAAATGCTTCTGTCCCTTTCCCAGACACTTCTGTCCCCTTCCCAAACCCCTGAATCCCCTTCCCAAACACTTCTGTCCCTTTCCCAAACGCTTCTGTCCCTTTCCCCAAACACCTCAGTCCCTTTCTCGGTCCCTTTCCCAAACACTTCTGTCCTTTTCCCGAACATCTGTGTCCCTTTTCCACACCTTGATCCCCTTTCCAAACACCTCAGTCCTTTCCCAAACACCACAGTCCCTTTCCCAGACACTTCCGTCCCCTTCCCAAACACCTCAGTCCCTTTTCCCGGACACCTGCGCCCCCCAATCCTTTAACACCTGAGACTCTCCCGAACCCCTGGAGCCCCCCAACCCTTCATCACCGCGTCCCCCCCGTCCCACCCTTGTCCCCCGGCCCTGTCCCCGCTGCTCACGGCGTTGTGGGCGCAGCTCAGGCTCTCGTTGCGGCAGCAGCGGCCGTACTCCCGCTCCAGGCGGAGCCGCAGCCGCACGCGGGGCCCGGAGCGCCCACCGGGGCCGGGGGGCCCGGGCCGCAGCGCCCGCAGCCCGCAGATGTTGCCCAGGTTGGTGGCCGTGGGCTCGCCGGGAGGAAAGGGCGGCTCGCTGACCAAATCCCAGGCGACGTTGGGGTCCCAGGTGGGGACGGGGCCCCAGGTGGGGGCCGGGGTCTCCTGGGCGAAGCAGCGGCGCCGCGCGGCCCCGTGGCGGTGGCAGCAGTGGAACTGCCGCGTCTTCACCCCGAACTCATCCGTGCAGAACCCGTCCAGCACGTCCGTCCACTGCGGGGCAGGGGGGACACGGCCCCCTCGGTGTCACCCCGTGTCCCGCCCTCCGCAGTGGCACTGTCCCCTCTGCCCGCATCATCCCCCCGCAACACACCGCGATGTCCCCACGTTACACCGGCCCCAGCGCCTTCCCCTCCAGCGGTGTCCCCGTGTCCCTCACGGTGTCCCCGTGTCCCTCACAGTGTCCCCATCCCCTCAGTCCCCCCATCCTCTCGGTGTCCCCATCCCTGCAGTGTCCCCATCCCCTCAGTGTCCCCTCGCGGTGTCCCCTGGGTGTCCCCTGGGTATCCCCCCGCGGTGTCCCCTCAGTGTCCCCCTCCCCGGGGTGTCCCCTGGGTGTCCCCATCCCCTGGGTGTCCCCTGGGTGTCCCCCCGCGGTGTCCCCTGGGTGTCCCCCTCCCCGGGGTGTCCCCTGGGTGTCCCGCTCCCCTGGGTGTCCCCTGGGTGTCCCCCCGCGGTGTCCCCTCAGTGTCCCCCTCCCCGGGGTGTCCCCTGGGTGTCCCCCCGCGGTGTCCCCTGGGTGTCCCGCTCCCCGGGGTGTCCCCGTCCCGCGGTGCCCGCACTCACGGCGCGGCGGGCGCAGGGCAGCGGGCTGCGGTGCCGGCAGCAATCGTTCATGCGGGGCCGCAGCGCCGCCAGCGCGGCCGCCTGCCGCCGCAGGTGCGCGAAGGCGTTCGGGGGCAGCGGCAGCGGCGGCGGCAGCGTGGGGGGGTCCCGGCAGTGCCGGGACACGGCGGCGGCCATGGGCCAGGCGGGGGGGAACCCGTCCAGGGCGCTGCCCCACTCCGGGGGGCTGCGCGACGGGAACATGGTCCCCGCCGCCAGGATGTCGGGGGGCACCTCGAGGTCCTGCTCCTGCTGCAGCACTGGGAAAAGGGAGTGGGTGGGCACAGAGCTTGTCCCTGTGTGCCCCCCTCTCCCCATTCTGTCCCTGTGGTCCCACTCGGTGTCCCCATGTCACTCCCGCCCCGTGTCCCCCCCATCCGAGTCCCCTTTCTCCTCCATCATCACGTCCCCACGTCCCTCCACCCCTAACCCTGACCCCCCCGTGTCCCCTCCATCCATAATCCCCCCCCACGAGCATCCCCGTGTCCCCAGTCCCCTTTGTCCCCCCACCCCTGGGTGTCACCCTTTGTCCCCTGGGTGTCCCCCTTTGTCCCCCCACCCCAGGGTGTCCCCCTTTGTCCCCTCACCTTGTTTGATGTTGGGGGGCTGCAGCTCCAGGCTCTCCTGCACCACCTGCTGCAGATGCCCCGAGGCCAGCGCTGTCACCCACGGGGGACACAGGGGGTCAGCAGGGTCACCCCCTCCGTCCCCCCACCCATGGAACAGCGAGCAGGGACCCCCCCCAGACCTGTGGGCTTGGAGCTCCATAACGGGGAGGGGGCCCAGCTATTTGGGAAGGGTCCCAGACGTTCAGGGGGGTCCCCAGGAGCTGGGGAAGGGGAGCCAGGAGGGATGCAGGTGTTTGGGACAGGGAGCTCCAGGCGTTTGGGAGGGATCCAGGTGTGTGGGCAGCAGCCCCGACATCCGGGGTGGGGAGCCAGGTGTCCGTGGGGGTGTCCCAAACACCCGGACGGGAGCCCAGGTGTCCCAGGGGGGCTCCAGGAGCTCGGGAGGGGGATCCAAACACCCGGGAAAGGGACCCTGAGCTCGGGAAGAGCCCCCCGAATCTAAGTGGGGGATCTCAGGTGTTCAGAAAGGGGATCCAGGTGGCCGGGGAGGGGACCCTGAGCTCGGGAAGGGGCCCCGGGTGTCGGGGGGGGCCCTGGGTGGGGGCAGCGGGGACTCACCGGCGGCGCTGAGGAGGAGGAAGAGGCCGAAGGCCGCCATGGCGTCGGGAGCTGTAGGGTCAGCGCCGGCTCCGCCGCCTTATGA